GGGGGGGGGGGGGGGGGGGTGTCCGTGGATTTCTTTGTTGTTGACATGCCACACGTCGTCACCGCTTGCTCTCGCAACCACCTTGCTGCTGTCGGTGGCATATTAACCACATGTAGGAGTGGTGACTGGTGGTGCTTGAAGGATGATGCCAAACCAAACTCCAAGTTTACCGCGGTCTTATGCTCTTTGGCGGCACCGTGTAGTCAGCTGGTATCTGTACTTGGGATGAGTTGTGTGTCTGAGGCCAAGCCATGCGCGATTTGCACGGCCAGGCTGGGACATGTCGTCTTTGTTCACTCACACGGAGCAGTCCTGGACCATTTGTCCTGCTTGCCCCTGACCCGCAATCAGGAGCCAGATATTCTGTATTTGGGTTATTCGCAGGCAGCACCATGGCGCCGCATTTTGGATTGACACAGCCGTTTCAAAACCCAAAACACATACGATTTCATGGTTAAGCCTGCCAGAATGTGTGCTTCTTGGTGTGCTCGACACGTTTCTCGAAGGAAAAGTCAGTGCCGTAGTACGGGAAGCAGAGTATCTGTGGACAACAGTGGCCTATGTGTTGTGGCCCACTGGTGCATCAGCCCTGTTGGGATCACTGCCTGGTGCCGTGGCAGCAGGTGCAGTGCGTAGATTGATGCCTAAGCACCGGCCTCTGTCCGAGGGTCAGGCCACAAGCTTTCGAGAAACTTCCAACTACTGTCAGTGCTTGATTTTGATATCTGAAGCATTCAGCAGTTCCGAGATTACTGCTTGATACTACATGGTACCACATATTGTTCAGATGCAGAAATGTAATGCGTGACCGCGCGACCCACCAGACGTGCAGCCGTGCAGCTGTTTCCTGGCAAGTGAACCTGTGGAACATGTGATTGACAACTCGAAATGTGTCGGTGATCGTGGTGAGATGCTCACGAGAGCTAAACCCTTTGTATCTGTTTGGAGATATTTCTGAGCTCTTTAGTTTGTCAAGCTTAGTTGGTTGAGCACGACACCTGGTGAAATATTGGCTTCGTGATGTGTGGTGGTGTAATGTTAAGGTCATACTTCCAGATTCAGCTGCGTGCATTGCATCCGACATGCGACCCGTCAGAAGCATGTCTGGTTTAACCAGCAAACTACACGCAGATGCGATGACTATGACAACTTCCGAGTACTCAAAAATGTAAGAAGGTTGAAGTTGAAACTGCAGCTATCGGCGGCAACCAGATGCTGCAACATGTCAAGAGGCTTGTGGACGTTTCCCGGAAGCAAGTTTTTGTGGACGCCAAGCATGATCCCCGTCTTTTCCGGTGTAGAGGGTGGCAGGCTGCTGAGTCTACGGCTTTCTTCTAGCTTCCACCTCGTAAGGGCTCGAAGATCACGTGCCGCAGATCTTCGTCACGAGATCCAAACCGACTCAAGGGTGCCGTTTGCTCAACGTGGAAAATGCACCCATCCCAGAAGGCATGAAATGCTCGTGGGTGCTTGTCTAAGCAACTACCAGACCGACTTTGTGATTCGCTTGTTCTGTTTTGCTGCGGATCTGCTAAGTTAACCAGCCTGTGGACAATTTCATCGCTGAGCACGCGGCCGACAACAAATTGCGAGCATTCGCCACAGTCCCCAAGATAGCACCTCGCAGTTTCTGACTGCCCGTTGCTTTGTCCTGTGCTCGCTACGGCTCAACACATGGTAGGGCCATGTCGTGAGTGAAGTTCTGTTTATCCGTGCGCTTATGGATTGTCGGTCATCTCGCAGAATCTCGCACAGTTTTGACAAGTGATGTGTCTTGTCTAGTCGCCAAGGTAGGCCAAGCAAGACCTTGGAATGTCGAAAACGATGTCCTGCATTCCGACGATGTGGCAGCCCAGCGGCGATCTTGCAAGCACCCTGCGTGCTAGGCATGTGCAGCTTGCACCATCTTGTGCCTGTGTGGAATAAGGCCTGGGTGCAAAACCAGCAGCTTGCTGCCGGGACAAAAGCTAAAGAAAGCGCTGGGATGTTAGTCGAAGGCAACAGGTGGATGCTGTAAACAGAAGCAGTGTGAGTGAAATCGTGCGTGAGCTCGCTGGCAGCTCTTGCCTTTCCGGCTCTCGAAGCACTCCTGAGACATGGAAGAGAGCAACAGTAAAGGGTAAGCAATTCGGGCAACACTTACGACATTAAGTGCACGTATTCCTGTTGAGCTGCACAGCTGACACCGTTGAAAGAATACAATGCAAAGCAAAAGTTGATGCACAGCTACATGCTTTTTTGGGTGGTGCCTGCAATGTATGATTAAACACATCTTGGTTACAGTACCCCAGTTGCACAGAAGGTATGTGAGGGAGAGTGGGCTGCCGCTGCAGCCCTTTTTGCATTCGGACGTGGAGTTTGCCGCCGGATGCATGCGCACTTCTTGGAGGCCCTGGCTCTGCGATCCGGATTGCAGAATGTCAAGTGGTTAATAGAGCACCATTGCATCAGACCTCTGTTGTAGTATCTTCAATGTCACCCGTTGCGAAAAATACTGAATCCCATGAAATTGCTGCAGGATGCGTTGCTGCCCGCTTTCATTTTGGACGCGGAGCTCCGCATTGCAGCTGGGTGCCAAGTTTGCCAGCATTGCCGTTGCAAAAGGTTGTTGCATGTGCAAGAAACCTGCAGCACGTCGAATCGACATCCATTGTTAAAGGCATGCAAGGCCTACATGCCTTGCGTCTTGTAGCGCCTTGTGCTAAAGGCATGGAATACAGCGGCCGTTCAGGCACTCCGAAGTGCAGTGCAGCGAGTCCCAATGCTGGTGGATACCCAAAGAACAGCCAGCGGTCAAAGCGCAGAGTTTGGCTTCACAGGCCACTTCCCTTGCAGCTGGAGAGGCATCAAGCTTCGCTTTGTGGATGTCTTGCACTGGGAGGGGGGGGGGTGTTGTGAGGTTGTGTATCCAGTTTCTGATCTTGTCGCTAATGTTACGTGTATCTGCTGCGCGAGGTCATTGGCAAACTCTTTGTTGACGTCTTGCTGGCGGAGGCCTTGACATAGCTGTTGGATGCAAAAGTGCACGATGCTCCTTGGCATGTGCCTGACACCTGTCCTCCGGATTCAGAGGCAGACGCAGACGCTATTGAAGAGCTCCAGCTGGCCAAAACACTGCAGAGGCCGCGCACTGCTCACCGCCGTCTTCTAGGAAGGATCTTGTGTTGTACCCGTAGCTGCACTGAAAGTGGAGAGGATGTCGGTCCGAAGGTGCAGGAGTTGCGAAGTTGCAGATCAGCCTGCGAGTCCAATGCAGACTTCCAGGCGCTTGCGCCCTTGGCGAAGCAATGCCGGTGCGGTTGCATCTTTCCTTGCCTTGCCGGGTGAGCAGCCAGAGGAAGACTTGTGCATGGATCCTGCATCTTCGCCAGCTGCTTCTACTTCATCCTTGTCTCCAAACTACGAAGACCTGCTGGGTGTTCTGCTCTCGTCTGCGAATGCTGCCGTGCTCACCCCCGCTCTTCGGATCGCTGGTTTCTCGTCTCAGATGCCTTTGCAGATTTCCGGATACGTGCAGCTGGATATGGCAGAAGAAGCAGATCAGCCTGGCAGTGCAACTGCCCTTGGAGAAGATCTCGAGCCTGTTCCGGAGGCTGAGGGCTCCAGCCTGGTGTGGGACAGAGGCGCTACTGGCCCTGTCCACGTCGAACACCATGAGCATCAACAGTCTCCAGATCCTCCCGTGCATCATGATAATGATGACATGATGGTGGCCGATATAGGTCTAGCCATGATCTCTTCCGGACTGACAGTGATGCTTGCGATGATGGGTGCAGTCTGCGCCTTGCGGATTTGCCGTGAAATGTCGCGACGTCGTGGTAGCGCCAGCACAGCAAACGTGGTGGAAAGCGGGTTGCCAGAAGGCTCGGCACAGGCCTTCCGGCCCTTTGGAGGACAGGGCTACCGCTTGGTGTTGGAAGGCGATGTCAGCAAACCACCGACACCCCGGATGTCGCCTGGTGACACGGAAGTCAAGGAGGAGAAGCACTCTGAGAGGCACTTTCCTGAGACTGGCTTGCCAAATTTCGGAGCCGGTCTTGCTAGCCTTGATTCCTCTGACACTTGACTCGGACTAAAACAGCCCAGAGGAGACTGCTTTGTGAGCTTCGTAGTTTAGCCGCTTCCAGTCAGCACTGTTCTTGAGTAGCCATTCGAACATGGTGATTCCCGTCACCAGGCCTTTCATCCGTGTGGTGCTTCCTTCGTCCGGAGCATCGGCATCCAGGCCCAAATTTCATGTTAATGCGTCGCAACAAACTGCTGTTTGGCTTCGTTCTGATTGAAGGCTACACTTGGTGGCCTGCCAGAGGCTCCCTAACTCCTTCGAGAGGTTAGCAAGTTCCTGGTGGCGGTAGTGCAATCGGGTTCTGTGGTTTACATGGTCGGCTTCGTCGACATGTAAAGCCTTGCAGAAGACGTTTCAGGAGCGGCCAATTTTCGGGATTCATCGGCTTTGCCACTTCCAGTGACGCACAGCACGCCACTCAGCAAGTTTCCTGTGAGACAGGCTTCCTTCCTGCTCATCAGGATGTGTCTGATGCCATGAGGTCCTCCAGCGCGAAAGTCCCTGCGGGGAGTGTCGCAGCCATAGCCGGACAGCGGGGGTAATGTGTCAAGAAATACCCAAGGCGAAGAGCATGCGGTGTCACGTTGCAGCGCTTGCAGCGGCTGCAGGCGCTTGAGAAAACCTTTGACCTTGTGGGAAGGCTGCTTCCCTTGTCGAGTCGAGTGTCGAGTCGAGAGTGCAGTTGCTGACAGCTTCGTGAAGGTCAAGCTGTGCTATGTGCAGCATTGGCATATCAGGCAGCTTCCGCACGATAGCTAGCCAGTGGTGCGGAGAGCTGCAAGCAATGCACAAGTCGTACATGTACTATGTGCTCAATATGGTGCGTCTTGTCAAATTGTGACGGTATTTGGCCAAACCTCTGCAGGGGAGATGTTGCGCTGCAATGCGACAATGTCGGCCTTGCCTGCCACCCAAGAGCAGGGAATGCTAGAAGTACTGCCAGCACATCGCATCCCGATGCTTTTGGCTTGGGCTCACGCAGGCCAGTTGTGCAGCTGTTTCCATGCTCAAACCCACATAGGCACAACAGGGCAAAACCCGCCACCAATTACCCAGCACGCAAGCAGCACACCAGACAGTGGACCTTTAGCACCTGCAATTGGCTTCGTTCGATCATGGGGCTTTCTGCTCTTCCGGCATGTCAGCCATGGCACGAATCCGACCCTTGCTGGGCGAGGCTGAGGCGGACGTGATGGGTTGACAGCCGATGCAAAGCTCACAGGCCTTGAGCATGCTTGAGTTTGTGCAGCTTCCGGCTTGCATCTGCTTGAAGGGCTCAGGAACAGTTTTTGCCCGTACTAGGCATGGAGGATGGCCTCCTCCGCACTTTCCATGCCAGCTTGGCTGAGCCAGATCTGGCCTGTCGCAGAGAGGCGCAACCGGTGCTGGCTTGGGCCTTCCCTCGCCTTCCCAAAATCAGGTGGCACTGTCTGCACGCTGCCTCGACCGAAGCAGCCTTGGGTACAAGGGCGTCGATGCCCTTGGCGAGGCAGATTTCGATATGCTTCTTTGGAGTGGTGAGGCTGTCATGTGCAGGTCTCCTGGTCGGAAGCAGAGAGCCTCCTCGAGGTTCTGGTTGTAGCATCGATCTTCCGCACGTGCCATCTGCATCCGCACGTTTCCCAGGCTGACGTCTCTTTGCTCCGAGCGCCACTTGGCAGTTTGCCTGGTAGGTCCTGTCAAAATATTTTAATAACTCTTGATTCGTTGGATGCCCCCGCTCTCATAATGGATGTTTCCCGGCCTGCCTCAACAGAAGCTGATTAGTTGGTACACCTGTAGGTGAGATGTTTCAGATGATGCCATACCGGAGGCAGCTGGGTGCTTCAGCCATTTGGGATCCAGATCTTTCGGCGAGGCTCAGGCGACTCAGAAATCACACACGGCAGGACGAACAATCGCAATGTTCAAGCGATTCGCTTTCAGGCGTTGGGCAGCGGGTGGCACCCGTGCCATAGGAGCAGGGTTGTCGCAGGTGGGATCGTTATCACATCGGTTCTAGCACCCGACGCCGTCAAGTACGAGCATCACTGACAGGTCCGGCTGCCTCTTCTGGGTGGGGTGTTGGAGGCTTCTGGAGCGGTGGAGGGCGATGGCTTGCAGATTCTCACCAACGAGGTGCAGCAATCTTTGGTGGCCTTCTTGTCTGGATGCGGTGGCGTGCTACATTACTGCATGCTACTACTGCTTCTAGCACTACTGGTGGCTGGTAAGGCATGCAGTCAATATCTCCGATCCATCAGAAAAATGAACTTGTGTTGGATGCGGTTTCGCCGAGAAAGGCGTGGAGCCGGGGAACCTCAGTGGCCCATGCCCCCCGCTCAGGAAGTCGGAAAGACGTTGTCCTGTTTGCAGAATCTCTGAGTTGAAAGCTCGTGCTTGGACTGACCCGCAAGCTACAGGTTTGGGTCTATCGCTTTCGGCGACCAACTGCAGCTGCAGCACACTTGAGCTACCACCCAGCACTTGCAGCGGAGTCCTGTGGTTTGCGAGCAGCGCTGCTCTTCAGGTTGGGTTGGGGTAATGCAGTCGTGGACGCATTGCATAGGCATAGGTCGCACAGGGACGAGATGTTCCTTTGTTCGACTCGATAGTGGTCTTGTAGCATCGAGTGCAAGCTTGGGCTCGAGCAGGGACCCAGCAACCGGAGCGCATCCAGATGTCAACGAGGTCGTGGAAGTCCAGGTGCCAAAGCAGTAGCTATTGACAGCATGCAGCACTTCGCTGCTTCCTAGTCTCGCCCTCTCTGGGTTTAGGGTTTATTTGGGGTTTCTCCGTCTTCCCTCTCTCTCTCTCTCTCTCTCTCTCTCTCTCTCTCTCTGTCTCTCCGTGTGTATCTCTCTCCCTCCCCTGCCCGCAGCAAGCTGAACCCTGGCGGAGAGGTTCTGCTCGCAACCACCTGCCGCGCTATCTCGCCACCATCAGGGACCCCTGGCACACACAGGGGGATAGTGATGCTGGAAGATCTTCGGACCGATCGCGGGCAGCGAATCTTCATGCCGCGAGGTTGCCTCTACCAGCTGCTGCAGCGCCAACCTCCTTGGAGATGAGGAGCCCTGAAGTCCCTGAAGCTGTAGAGTTGTAGAGTGACGCATGAAACCGGTCAAGCGGGCTGTCAGGCTGCGACAGCGGGCTCTGGAAGTAATGTCCGCGGAGGACGCGACCATAGTTGGACAGCCGCCACTGCAGCGAGAGGATGTCTTCTTTCAGGCCAGTGGCTATGCAGCTCTTGCCGACATCCTGCGCCGGGATTTGGCTGCCTTGGCGGCTTCTTCGGGCGTCGAGGTCTCCTGCTAAGTGGGAGCGCCTGACTGATGTTTCAACACTCGGACGCTTTCCGGTGTTTTAAGGTTCCTGGTGATTCCTCCCTGCCACACTTTGCTGTACGCTTGAACGACCTGGCAAACTTGGAGGAGGCACTGGAGGGCCAGAAGGGAGCACCCAGCCGACAGGAGGAAGGTACCTTGTCGAGATTTAGCGGAAATCTTTCGGGCAGGCTCCCTCTTCGGCAGGAGCCAACTGAAATTGCATGGCCTGTGCTGTAGTAGAAGCAAGATTGTTTGTCATGGCTTTGGCCCAGGCATTTTTCAAAGATCAGCTGTTCGATCACAGCAGCACGGGGCGAGCGTCGCCTGGTTGGCAGCGGTTAAGGTTTTCCAGAGAGCTGAAGACTTTCTCCTTGTGCCTTGAGGCTGTTGAATCTGTACTCAGGAACATCGGCGACCGTCAACCGACATCTCCAAACGGTAGCTTGTTCCAACTCCACGAACGAGGTGTTTCTGGGTGTCCTGATAACCCCACTGTGATAGAAAGGCGGGAATGCCAGGCAGCAGCAACAGCTACCGGGGTGCTCCCATCTTGACCAGTATTGAGAAGGGTGGTTGGCGGGGATGCTGGCAGCTGATTCTTTCAGGCCGCGGGCAACGTCGGAGGAGGCACTTCTCGAAGCCGCGACTTGGCAGCATGCAGGGCAGAAATGGCCACCCACTTTGCTGCTCTGTTCCGCTGCCCAGGATCTTGCAGCTGCGCTGGCTACAGCCCAGCGTCTCCTCAAGCAGGATGTTAGCGAGGTGAAGGAAAGTTATCGTTCTGGAATTCTGGCAGCTTTGAGTCCGGAGTTTGTTTCAGGTGGTGAAGAACATGGAGTCCCCTAGAGTCGGCCCGGCAGAACCTCCGATGCAGCCTGACCAGCTGGCTCTGCAGCAAGGACGACAGCCGTATGTTTGGGTCTTATCGTGTGCCGCTGAGAACAAAAGACCTGCTTTCAGCATTCGAACACTGAGTATCTTTCAAGCTCGAAGCAAGGCTTTTGTAGTCTTCTCTTGGGACAGGCTCAGACCATTTCCGTTGTGACAGCTTGTCTTATCTTGTCTTCCGGAAGAGGACTCCTTCAGTTGGCACGTGGGCTGGATGCCAAAGCTCTTGTACATAGTGCCCGGGCTCAATAGTATGGGATGCACGCACGTCTTCGGTGTGCCTCAAGCAAGCTGCGCTTCTTGCTTCTGCAGCCTCAGGTGGTGACAAAGTTCCCGTCAACTTGGCCGTCAATCCAGACTACACGGTGAATGTTAAGGCCAAGACGTAACCCAGCGGAGTAGTGTCCGGCAAAAGCTGTTGGCGTCTTGTGGAGGTCGCTGGGGAGTCTCGTGCCTTCCAGTTGACCAGCATTGATGAGGTGCTCCTGTGTCGCATGCCAGCCGTGGGTGGGGGGGGGCGCCCCTGGCATCGCCTGAGATACTCCATGCTTTACGCATACCGGCTTCCTACGCCTACTCCTACCTAGCTACGTAGCTTTGACAAAGGTCTGGCATGCTTCAAGCTGGAAAAGAAGAGGAAGAAACATGAAGAAACACATTCGTTGCGGCATAGGTTTAGCGCTGCTTTTCAAGACGGGGTCATCTTCAGTAGGCTGGGGTCCATGGCCTGGAGTGAGCGCCCCCGACCCCTTCCTTATGTTGCCAAGCACCCCTTCTTCTCACCAACAGCAAAAGCAAAACACACACACACACACACACACACCCCCCCATACCCACACCCACACCCACACCCACACCCCCACACGCACGCACGCACACGCACACTTAGAAAAGTGGTTTCTGCAC